CACTCCAGTTAACGATTAATCAATTACTAAATTAGTTTATGATGATTTCAGTAATTGATTAATCACAATTAACCCAATTAATTGGTTAGCCCTAATCAAAAACATTGTGGTTGGATTTAATTAGTCGCATGAATGACCAAAATAAATCCATTTGTCATAAATTCCAGTTGTTGTTCAGAAGGACTCAACACACAGTCCGGAAGCAGAACTGTTGCTAGCATGAGTGAACTTCCTCCAAAACCTCATCTAGAGATTAAGATCAGAGATTTTATAGAAAACAAAAAAAAGCTCAGACATTTCAGAATTCGATAAGCAAATAAAAGAAACGTTTTGAGAGGTTTTGTTTGGTTCTAATGTGCGGTTCTCATCTCTCAGACACGAACAGTTGGACCGAGCTGAAGCTCGCGCGGCTCTCCCTGCCGAGGGCGGGGCATTCCGTCGTCACCATGGCAACGCCCGATCACCATGGTGACTCGGAGGACTCCTCGGCTTCCGCCGGAAGAACTCTGCTGGTGTTCGGAGGTGGAGACAACGAGGGGACGTTTTACTCCGACGTCACGAGCGTTCCTGTCGAGGAGCTGCTAGCGGCGGCGTGAAGAGCTAGCCTTTTAGCTCCACGCGCTGGAACACCGGCTCTACGTCGTTTACGTTCCGGGAATTTTATATCTTCGCAATTAAAGTCGAGGTATCTGCTGTTTAAGTGTATATTTTGAGTTTAGTGGAGAGATTTTTTTTATGCGTGTTCTCTTATGTATAAGCAATCAGGAGTCAAAACTACTGCATATTTTTGGGCTTTTGAATGTGTATTGAGGAAATATTTTGTATATATGTTTAAAACTTATCTTTGGGAAAATTTGCTTTATTTTCTTGTCTTTTTATTGTGTAAATAAGTCATTCAGCAATTTCAGAGGTTGTACTTAACCTACTTTATGTATTGTTTAGATACTCCCCTGTTAGCTTCTCTTTATACTTAATAAATGTTTATCTGTTAAATTTGTTATTTTTATGCCTTTAATTTTTGTTTTTCATAAATCTTCATTCACTGGGTCAACTTTGAGAGGCTAATCTAAATCTACATCACCTGGTTTTAATAGAAAAACATTTCTTCATTTACAATATTCTATTGAACAATCATTTTATTGTTTAAAAATATTTTATTCCTCTTTTGTTTTTTAGGTACAGCATTATCTCTCCCCGGCTTTCTGTCCCACAAATTTAAAGGGTGGCAAAATAACGTTGCTTAGCATTTCACGAGGTGGCTATGGACAAATTCATGCCACGTTTTCAGATTTCTATTTGAACAACTCTAGAAAGTCACACTTGCTGTTCACCAAACTGTTTGATGAAGTGGTGCATATCACAGAGAATCCCAGTGAAATACATGGATGTTTGTGGTTGTAATGTGAGACATTTCAAATGCTATATTTTTTTAAATTATTTTTTATTTAAACTTACTAGGTGATAGAAATAAAATTGCATTCAAAAATATGTAAATATAACCTTAATTTTTTATATCAGACTCCACTTTTTTTTAAAATTTGTCACCAACACTGTTCTGTTAATGTCAGTAAAAGTCAAGTTCAGATTATCGCTCCCTCACAGACTGTGCATGACATTTCTCACTGATTCCCTCCACGCTTTGTTTATTATCAATTCCTAACAGCTGGATTGTCTGTGCTCTACTGCCTATAAATCACAAACTGTATTAGAATTATGATAAATCTCCTTTTGATGATTACCAGTCTGCTGAGTTACAGAAACTCAAAAAACTGGAAACACTGATAAGATATCAAATGCCTGATGATCTATGTAGTTTGCTAGGTTTGATGGAACATATTACCAAATACATATGATGGATAGATTATTTGGGAACCTAAACTGACACTGAAAATATAGTAGAGATAGATCAAAAGTATCAATTGTAATATTCCAACAGCCTGCAGATGGCGACATTTGTCACTTTTTCCTCCTCCACAAACGATTGAAATCCACTTAAAACTGCGCTAACAAATTGTTCAATCTTTCTAAACCAATATATGTATAGTTTTATGTTATAATAAAACATAAGCGTTATGGAGTACTTTAATGGCACACCTATCCTCGAATATCCTCCCACCACATGTGGAAGGTGATTTTCCCCTTGATTCATCGGGAAATCCTGCCAGTTGGATTCCCTCCCAGTCGTTTTGAACCAGTCTCTCGGAGCCCTCCATTTCCTGGATTCGTCTTTTATTTTCTGCCTGTTACATCCTCTTATTGTGTGACTATTTGCGTCTGTGCAGATCTCCCAGCTGACAGATAATGCATCCTTTTTCGTTTTCTTTTCATGGGGGAGACCACATTATGCGAGGCAACCTACTGTTGTTGCTTAGTAACTTGAAAATATCTGAGGCTGCAGTCTGTATTTCACAATCACACATAGAAACAACAGAGGGCATTTACATTTACAAATGATTTTTAGAGCAGAGGGCCCATAATTTGACTGAACTGGAGCTGGAAAGTGTCAAAATGTGCAACAATGAATAAACAATCCCCATATTCATTGATCGGAAACAATAATTCAGTAACATAAATAAGTGTAAATCACTGACAGCACTAGTTTACTGGAGCTTCCTTATGAAGTTCAATTACTATTTTATCAAAGCATTTTATCATCTCTTAGTTATAAATTTGTTGCAATTATTGTACCTTTGTTCCTTTATTATCTGCAAAGTTCTTTGAACTACGATGTAAAGGAATGACACAACACAGTTAAACATCCTTGCTTTACATGCTTTTTAAAGAAAATTATTATGTCAACTGTTTTCAGATTGTTTATTAATTTATTTTTGCTTTGGTTGATGGCAACAATTCAGACAACTATTTTACTTAAATTGTATTCAGCAGTTTGGATTATTAGGATTTTATATTAGCTCCTAAAACTACTACAAAAAGCAAAGTTTCACCAGCAGTGAGTCATGAGCTGCCAAGACTTGTGAAATGTTAAACTTTGTCATAAGCTAGAGCAATAACACTTTGTTATTGATGTACACAGTGGAAGTATTTTATGGCAGAATAAATATGTTTTGTGTTCCTGCTTTCCTACAAGCTAGCATTAGCATCACAGTAGATGCAGGAACTTAGAAAAGTGTCAATTTAAGCTTCCAAGAACTTAACCTTTGTGCCATGATCCAACCATTTAGGCAGATAATTATTGAGAGGATTTTCAGTCATTTCTAATATTGTTGTCACTCAGGAAGTGGTTTCAAAATTAGCAACACTCTCTGTGAAAAAAGTTGATTAAGTAATGACGCAGAATGTGTGATGCCAGTTTTTGTGAAATATGAAACAGCTAAAGCTACAGCAAGACGTCAACAGACATGGGAAGAGATCAAAATGCTTTGCATAATAAAATATAGTCAAATAAATTAAACTCATTACATTACAAACTCATTACTCATTACAAATGATTCATCCAAATCATAAAGAATAATCATCATAAAATATACATTAAATATATTAATCAATGTCTTAGTTGTTTTAACCAAAAGTAACCATGCTGTCCAGTTTTGGTCTCATCAAACTGAAGTATTTTTACCATGTACTTCACCCAGTTCATTAGTGAAAGATAGTCTGGTGGAAAAGCTGCAATGCTCCACAAAACATTTTACATCTGTCACATTGGTGTATAATTTGTAAAATAAAAAAAAAATGCAAAAGTGCTTCTCAAATCACTGAAATAAAGAACTGTATGCAGAATAATAAAGACAGCTATAACCAGATATAACGTTTATGATATGTAATGTATATATTTTTGCAAATCTTGTATTTTGCAAATCTTGTATTTACTTAGATTGTTTCTGACAGTAAGGATGAAGTTAAATTATTTTTTCTTCTCTCGAACAGCTTTTAAAAGTCTAACGCACTGAGGACATCTGTATCAGCACCTGCTGTTTTCCAACCTGAAGGAATTGCGGTCAAACAAATGTGCTGCTCGTGACCGAGCCAACGCATTCGGCCAAATCATTTTCATGAATTATGCTTTCCCCCCTTTTTAATGTAAAGCACACATTTATTTTATGCAATATTTGCACTAATATTTGCTGCACAGCACATATATTATTTCTGAACATTACAATATGTTTTTTTTAAATTATTAAATATGACTTGAAGTTTGTCTCCTCATAGTTTATTTGTGTTATAGATTTAAATCAACTAAATACTACCAATAAGCTTCACACTTTATCCATAAAAGTTAATAAAGTATTAGATATGGAAAATAAAGGTAAATGAATGATTACATACAAACAGTAAAATCTGTCAAGGTTTCCTCATCTATTTTAGTTGACAGGTAAAGAAAAAAGACAGAGCAACTCAGTGGAGCATGTTTATAGAGCTGGAGTAAAAACAATGCAAAAGTTCACTTTTTTTATTGCCTACATTCAACTAGATCTGATCCAAAATCAATCAGCAAAACATGAGCAAGCCATGACCAACTCGTGTTTTCATCAGAATCTAATAACTGAAAGATTTTGATAAGTTACTGGGTCTATAAAAAAAATTATGTAAATAGATATCTTTTTTTGTTGTTGTCTTTTTTTTTTTAAAACTGCATTTCTTGAGGAAACTTAGATGTAAATGTTTTCTACCGTCATTTGTTAGGGAAGCAGCATCAGTAGGTGACCAAAAAAGGGGTCAACAACCTGATTAAAAAGGCTGGATTTGTTCTGGAAAATCTAGAAATGATATGTTAATACAGACTGCTACAGGAAACCCTTTCTCCTCATAACCATCAGCATCGCAGATTCCTTGAAGAATCTTGGAAAGCACGAGTTACAACAACATCTAACTTTCCTTTGGAACCAATAAAGTATTTGAGAATTGAGATGAGGCGTCTGAGTCGGATCCCGGAAAGTAGTCGGAATTCCCATCTCCGGGCGGTCAGTCGCTCAGCAGTGAAAATTCGGAAAAAATCGAGCAAAGCCGAACACAGAACTCCCTCCCTCTTAGTCGTGGTGCAAGCAGCCATGTTGCTGTTATTGGCTTGTTCCGGTATCAGGGCAGGATAGACCGCATTCGGGGCGCAGCTCCTCGCCTTTCCACCCCCCTCCCCTCCTCCTGCCGCCCGTAACACACACGCACACACACACACACACTCACCTCCTAAAGAAGAAAGCCCCACTTTGCCCTATAATGGATTCAACAACTTGATGATTCCTCCTCCTTCAGTCGGCGCAACGACAGGACGAGCTGCTGCTGCTATATCGCCACACTGCAGTGCAGCACTCGGTGAGCGACCTTATTCCAATCACGCAACGCGAGAAAGAGAAATCGCCGGTCATTTGCGTGGATTCGGGAGTTTTTTTTTTTTTTTTTTTTGGCTTTTTTTTGCGGGTCGCCCTTTTGGCAGTCAGCGCCACTGCAGTCTGTCGCTGGGTGATAGAAGCTAACTAGCTAAAGCCTTGTCTTGAAAGAGACGTTGAAATAGCGATTTTGGCTAACAGTTAGCCAACGCAACAGACTCTTATTCGGCATTTCTCACCTGCAATGTCTCTATTTTTACAAAGTTTGACCTTTCCTGTCTCCTTCCAGGGATCTCCTGAGTGGATTATTTTGACTTTGTCCTGTCAGAGTCGGGAATAACTTTTGGCCTGAAAGTTTTTGGACCTCGGACCTGATCTTAAAGGAAACATCTGTTGGGCACAAGAGGAACGCTGAAACGCCGTCGAGGAGTATCGTGGAGTTAGCTTTGGACGAAAACAACATTTTTTTTATGAAGAATTAAGTTGCCTCGTCCCCATTTAGCTCAACCGTTGCTAAACTTTTTTCCTCCCAAGCTAGCACAACACGCTAGCCGTCCCAGAAACGTACCCATTCTGCAAATTTCTATGATTTCCATTTATAAATGCTTATTTGGACCTGAATGCTTTTAAAGCCGAACGGCAAAGCTGAGGGTGGAAAAGCACAAGCCTTTTCGCACGGTTGTTACCCGTTGACAAACATGGGACACGCAGCAGCTACAAGCTAGTCGCTAGCTCGCAGGCTAACTCTACTAAGTAGCCGCTGATGTGGGATTCAACTTGTTGATTCGACGGGGGACATCTGTTGGAAGTTTCCCTCCACCATTAGCTGCAAGGGGCTTTAAATGATCAACAGACGCTGATCGATCGGCCTTTCTTCACGGTTTTCTCCCGAAATGTCAACAAGGCCCTCACAGGGGCAAGTCATTGAGATTTCAACAGGACAGGTAAGACAACTCTCCAGAATAGTGTCATAAATAACTGATTCCTCAGTCCTTTTGCTCTGCCTTTGTTGTCTTTTGCCACACAACAGTGATTCACCAGCGTGCCTACGCAATTATGCTGGATTTCCCACTCCTTGCAGCAGGGCAGAGCAAATTTAGGTATCTGTTTAGTCTGTGTTTCCAGGCAGGTCTTCCTTTTTGATTTTCTTCCACCTCAACCTGTTGGAACATAGACAATTTAAAATGATTGTTAACGTATTTGTCATTGCAATTGATCAGAAATGCATTGCACAGGTATGTTGGCAAAAAGTAGTCAAAGAATCCATTTGAAATGGTGAATAAAATTGGTGGTGTAAGAAATATGATTGCAGTTTATGGCAATTTATGTCCCAAATGTTAATGCTAAAACCAAAACTGTATGACTTAACATTGGCTGGAATAACGTTTAATAAACATACATTATTGATAATAAAATGTCCTTTATTTAAAACAACTTGATAACTTGTGATATCAGTAGAGGTGACCCGATAAATCAACAAAGATTTCTTAAATTTGGTAGAGCGATGACGTCCACTGACGCTATTTTATCTTTGCAAAGGTCTAAAAGTCATCTGCAGTTCCCTTTTGTAACTTTGTTGCTACATGTAGTAACTTTTTAGACAAAAAAGGAAACATTGACCAAAACTGAAATCGTCAGGCTTTTTAAAGATCGGTGATGAGGTATAAAACTGCAATCGGTGCACTGCGATGTTACCTTCATTAATGCAATGACTGCAACACTTATAGTTTCCAACTATGTTTTTATTGAATGTAGGTATTACTAAGCTGCAATACTGACACTTTATTTCACTTTAAGAGAAACGAGAATAAAAATAGTCATTATTGTCCCGCACTTGATAAATTTAGGCATAATAGTAGCATGAAAATATGTACATTCACACACTAAGAATCAGAAAACCTGAAGTTGCCATCTCTCTGACCATAAGTGTTTGGCAACAACTATATTACTTTAATAAGACACCAAGCAGATAAATGTTGCTGACGACCGCTTTTCTTCTGGCTGAAAGGAAGCTACAAAGCGTCTCTTGTCATTCACAGAAGGGCTCACCCATCAGGAAGTATTGGTGGACTCAAAAAACACAAACAATCACGGTGTGAAAGCTAAAGGAGTGCCATCACTCCTACTGAGACAATGATGTTAGTTGCAGCCTGTCTGGATGCTAGCTGGCTAGCGTAGCAGAAAACCCGAATAATGAATGAGCTAATATGACCTTGATACTCTACAAAGTGTAAAAGGCCTGAAAGGTGTAATATTATGCATAATTAGCGCTGCAGATTTAGCATATAGTGTTCTTTTTGTGTTTTTCTTCTTATGTATCCAACTACCAGCAAATAAATAGATAGCAATAAGAAACGTTAAAAAGATCACGTTTCTTCTGAAGCAGATGTGGCATTTGTTGCCCACATTAGACTATGTTTTGAATTGTAATCTCTAATCTTTTGTGGTTATTATTTGGCAGGGGGGGTTCTTAGGAAATAGTCATTTGAATTTGGTGAAATGTGCCTACTTGTAGAGGGCCAGAACATTACCTTTTAGATACACAGAGGCTCTCATTTGCCATTCAAAACGGTAATACGTCGGTGAAGTAGTTTCACACTGAAGAAATCAGTTCGCGTATTGTTTGCACAGGGCTGTGTTGACTCAGGAAAACTAAATATTTCCCAGCAGGAAGTCTCTTGTGACGATGGATCATTACCAATAGGAAGAAGCTTTTAGTGATTACGGTGTAAACACAAACTTCCAATTAAACTTCAGTTCCTATCTACTATATACTCAGTTTTGTGTAAAATCTACCAAAAGGTTTCGTCGTGTTAGATTTCAAGTGACGCCTCGAGGTTGGGGAGAGGCACAACTGTCATTTCATGGCTTATACAGGTGCAGGAAGTGATTATAAGCACTGCAACAATACACATTACCATGTGATGTCAAACAATGCTCCATTATCTCTTCTTAAGCTAAGGGGTTCCTAAATACACTGGAATAATCACTTGGTACTTTGCAAAGGATTTGAACAATGGAAACAAATTGTTTTGTTGGAAGAATAAAGGTCTGTTAAGCTGTGGACCCAAAATACTTTGAGTTGTCATTTATTGTGAATGGGCTTTATATAAAAAAAATCACATTTTACAGTTCTTAATTTAACTCTAAATAACTTTAAAAACATCTGCTGAGAGATTACAATGAACTTTATTTTTGGAAATTTCATCAGAAAAAATAACACAAATGAATCTTTTTGGTTTCCTACTTTCTCTACTGAAAAGCAGAGCTCAGGTATGTTGGCTCTTATCAGCCAATTGGTGGAGGACACCTGAGGGGTTCAGAGGTCTTTGCTCTGTGTGAAAAAACCAGGCCACTGTCAGACGTTATCTGTTCATACCCTGATCTCACTCCATGAGTCAACCTGAGTGTGTTGGCACATTAAACAGCACAGATAATTACCTCCGGTGTTCTGTAAAAGGAAAAGCATGTTGACCACATGTAGGTGAGGGTACAACCGCACGCACTCTGACAGATACGCACCTCCGTATTTAGCTGCGCCGCTGTCGGGGCACGAAGCCAGAACAGAACGGTTAGCTTAAAAAGGATTGAGCTGTATTGTTTCAGAGAGGATGTGATGTGATGGTAGGAAACAAATGTGTTCAAAAACATTATTTTTTTTATGCCTAAGCATTTGGGAAGCACATCAATATCAATCATATATCAAAGGTTTTACACTTTTTAGGTGAATTAAAGCCCTAGCCTGCAGGTATAACTGATTTATGAACTGAAAATTGGAGGATTCTTCTACATCATAAAAAAGAAAAAAAATATATATATATTACTGCAGTTTTATGTAAAAAGCTTTCAAAGAAAACATAGAGAATCAGAAAGACCAATTTTATTTTATTTAAGAAAACATTATTTATGTTTATGAAAGATAATGTTGTATTGCATGTAAATCTAAAGATCTCTCAGATAACATCTTGTAAATTATTTAAAAACATCAATGTGTTGTTGATCGTTTTGATAAATCTTTTAAGTATTTTAAATATGAAGTATATTAGGATATTAAATCAAAACTCTCTTTGAAAATTAGCTGCAGTTCCACAGCATTTTCTCAACTTTTTCATAAAAATAATTTTGAACGATATACATGCAAGATGTAAAATTTTGTGGGGTTTAAAGGCCGTGGTGTATCTTGACTCAAATGAGAAATCCTTTCATAGTTTTAAGACACTTGGAATGTACTTGGAAAGAAGTTTCCTTTATTCTTATTGTCTATATTTAATAACAGCAGCAAAATCTTTTCAGTTTAATGCTTAACATTATGATGCATTTCCTTTATTTATTTCTGACAGCTGTATGTTCAAAATGAACCTTGTATTGTTTTGAGTTTTCTAGATTAGTACAACTTCCATTTGCTATATTAATAAATCCAGTAAATTGTATTGTTAAGCATTGTTTAGGGTTACTGGTCACTCCATTTTTTACATTTTTTTTAATCATAATTGACTGTTGCAGCATTAGTGTACATGAGCCTAGCAAATGAGAAATGTATTTATCTTTTTTATATTTTTAAATGTATAATTTTCAAATATTAAAATTCTAATTTTTTTAATGATATACATTTTTTTCCTATAAAAATATATCTAAAAATTATTTAAGTGAAAAATAATTGGAAAATAAATTAAACATATCTGAATAAAATGTTTTATTTTTTAATATCATCTCTATTAAAAATCTAACATACGTTTGAAAGTTTACAAAAAAAAGATTTTTCTAAGATAAAAAAATTTGTACATTTATTTTTTCACAAGGAAATCTTAAAAACAAAAATACTCTTAATGTTCACCTCTCTCTGGGGCTCAGCAGCTTTTCCTTTCAGGCCTGACAAAGAGCTGACTGAACTAAAATAGAAATATTCATAAAGCTGTGCATTAAATATCTGTCTTAGTGCTAAATGCCAGTGCTTTAACAGACGGATGAGGCCATTAATGTTGCATTTTTTTCGTCAGTACCAAGCGAGAGCGGTTACTGGCCGGATGAAGGCAGATAACCGTCCATCTAGAATAGCTCCAACCTCTCATTATGACGAGGAAAGCATTACATTTAGCTCTCCTCTATGCCTCTCACTGGCCCACAGCAATTTCTCCTCCAAAGTGGAGTTTCATAAATGATACGACAATGAAGAAGAGGAGAAGGAGGAGGATATATTTCCTGTAGCAGTTGGAAACCCCGTCCCCTTCATTCCTCGAAACGTGATGTGCATCGCATTGAAGTCATTTATTCATTCATCACATCTAATCTGGATTTTTCCATTCAAGAGACGAAAGGGTTCTGATCATTACCAGTCCTGAACAGAGTTGCTGGGTGAAAGGTCACAGATGGTTCTGTTTGGAAAGCGACAGACCAAATGGCAGCGAATGTCAACCGTACTCCAAACTAAGGTGGGATTAAATGTAACCGGTGAAGACGTCCCGATCCAACTGGGGCGTATCGTCAGAGAAGGTGCCTTGTGATATGTGTTTAGCTGTTAAATGGCAGATATGTTAAGTGGCTCGTTATGCTAGGCTAATGCCGGCAGTCGGTTTGAGGAACTTGTTCAAAAGTGCATGACACACAGGCAACTTGTTTTACACGCAAAGCTGTAGGTGTTTTTACTTTACTTACTTCAGCACTAAAGAGTGTTTCTTGGTATAAAATGTATCCAGAATGATGATATTGTTGCTCGTCCGCTTCCATACATATGACTGACTGATTTCCTGTTTTACAGTGAAATCTTGTCAAACCACGTCTTTTGACACACATACAAGCTAGCAATACTGGTCAGTCCGTTTAGTTCTGTCCTTTTGTCATTGTTGGGAAGTGGCTGAACAAACTGGATCCTTCTGTTGTTGAATTTTAATGAAGGCGAGGCGTTCAAGTTTTATTGAATTTGTTGATTTGAGATTCATAGGAAATA